AATTTCACATAGCGAAAGTATTGAGCATAATGTCATTTTTACAATATTCTTACAACGGTTTTACAATGGTTTTACTAATACTGGTGAAAACAATTGTAACAAGGGTTGTTATGCTCAATGCTTTATTTTACCGTGTGAAATCTTTGTGAATTACCAGTGATACTTTTTACATTGCTAGAAAAGAATTGATTCATAATGAAATGTTTATGAAGATTTCGAATTTGTGAAATCACGTTCTTACAATAATTTTTTTGCAATAATTTTAGGTATTTTCACAACCATTGAAAAATCTTTTCATTTCACACAAATTTTACAATTGTGAAATCTTTGTGAATTATCAGTGTTGGAAAAAAGTGTTTAATTTTTATATAAATATTTATGGCATCTAATATAAAGGATGCAATGTAATAATTTCAAAACATTCTCGTAAATATATGTTTTAACAATCCTTCTAGAGAGTGATAATGGCAAAGACAAATACTAGATAATAATAATATAGACTAGTATTAAAATTAAAAGAGAAGGTATTATCTCCTTCATAGAAGTTTAGCGTTCGTTATATAAGGGCGCGTTATTATTATGGAGAGTGAACGAATAAATTTGTTGATCGACCAATAAAATTTTGAAGAGCTTCCGAGAGTAGACACGCCCAAAGAACAGGAAACAGTATTTCTGGTTTTTTTGTTGATAATTCTTCCTTGGCAAAATCAAATCATCTGCAATAAAATTATTGAAATAACATAAAAAGACATTCTTTCCAGCATCGACAATAACTTCTAGGAATCTCAAGTGCCAAGACAAGAATATCTTTACAATAGATATTTGTCAAAGATGAATTTAAAATATATCACTTGTCAAAACCAGCATACAAGGCTACCGAGTTATTAGTGTCAATTATTAATCTATTGATTACTTAAATTATAAGTATAAATATTTATATCTAATTAAATACATGTACTATTTTTCCTTTTCATCAATGAATTCCATAAATTTCTTTAATTCTTCTT